CTTTCTTAATAACCCCAAAGTTCTCTACCGAAAGCTAAGCTGTGAACAAAGATCCCTTTGCGTTTGTTTTAATTTTCTGCGCTTTATTTTTTAAAACGATTTTTATGGCTGTGCATACTAGTATTTTTAGGCAAACCATACCAAATTTAATGAGTTTATTTTCTAAAACGGGGGAACTTTCAGGCCTGCAACTATGATGGAAGATAAAAGAGGAAGTCTAGGTGCTATGGTATTTTCTTTATAGTGTAATCAAATCGCAGCGCTCCTAATCTCTTGTTTTCGTCTGTATTTTATTTTCATCGTCCGATCCCCTTCGCTGGTGTTTTCAGTTCCGGATTTTGGTTCATAATAGACGCGGTTATTTCCTCGTCTGTCATTTTATAGATGTCATTTTTTATTATATCGAGGGGATCTTTGTTGTTGACGTATTCGACGTTGATGCCCCCGCCTCATTCCAGTTTCTTTTCAATTTTCCTTGTTTCTTTCTTCCCTACATCCAATGATCACCTTTAGGTCCTTACCCATTCAGATCCGGTCTATTCTTATATTTTACTGTGCTGGTCTCAGTATCGCTTTATTGCCTCACTAATCTGCTTCCTTTCTCCTTTAATTTCCTTCCCTATTTCCTCTCTAGCTTCAATTATTCTTCCCTCTAAATATTTTTCTAATACTCTTATACTATCTAGCAGGGGAGTGCAATCAGTTATCTCGGTTTTCTAAGTCGCTCCAGGTTCTCTTTTACGGTCTTTTATTTATTATTTCGTCCTGTCCTTTTTTATTTGTATTTCTATTTCCTTTACTTCCTGCATCATGCTTTCCTCGTACATGCTCATCTTCATCTTTAGCATTTTTCCTAATTCTGTTCCTTCCTCTATTTCCTTCCCTTTTCTTAATTTTGAGTGTATGTTACTAATCCTTTATCCTATCTAGGTAGGAAAGGATGGGCCTAGATAAGAATCTATTTTGATAACCTCTACTGTGAGGTTGTCTTCCATCCCTTCTAGTTTATTTTGAACCATCGCCATTATATGGTCTGTCACTACTTGTGGTACGTATATGTTCTTTTCTGTTTGGTGATCAATGTTGTTCTCGGCTCTTTCAATTCTATTTATTATCAGTGTCGCGATGGTGTCTGTTACTTCATCGGGTATTCTTTCTATTACTTTAACTTTCTCTTCTATCCTTTTCAGTGTCTTTTCTGTTCGTAATTCAAATTCCTTTTCCTTTTTCTTACCCTCCTCTTTCTCTTTTTCCTTTTCTCTATCCTCATACAGTGCCCTAATTTCTAATCTAATTGAACAACCTGTGGGATTAACAGGTCATTAATACGCCACAAGTAAAAGGCCGCAGAGAATACAGACTCCTGAGCAACTCTAGCGTCATTCAACGTGAGATCGGAGGAGCAGAAGTTGATGACACTGCTCGTTCACTCTAGCCCTCAGGAATATTGACATACCGCAGTGAAAACTATCCAGGGTACCATTAACTAGAAGCTTACTCTACAGTGTTGTGTGTCTAATCCTGTCAAAAGACCATGGCCACTGCTGGATACGGGCCTTTTATATTATGATATATTTTATATACCATAATTAATTATTGATTTATACCTATGTTGTCTGAATGACTAAAATAAATATTGTAATAGTAAATAAAAATATTTTTATGTGATTCAGTCTTGGTGGCTTCTTAAATAGTTTATCTGATTGATCCTAATAGCCTAAAGAAGGATTTGATCGATTGACCGTTTAGCTATGCATTCGTATTTTATTTTAAATTTTAGCTATAATAAGCAAACAAAGTTATAAAAGATCCGTCCTAAAGACCCCTAATCCAAGAATTACATATTTACTAATGTTGGTTCTGGGTAATTTCTATTTGAATAAATAATATGTGAGTGCACATTTGTTAACATTTTTATTTGTAGGGCTACTCAATCTTATCCAATGGAAAAGACTGGTTTCCGTATGTCCGTCTATCACCAGGCTGTATGTCATGAACTGTGATAATCAGAGTTGAAATTTTAGCGGCAAATCGAAATATACAGTCAGCAGCACGCCAGGTTATACAAATCTGTCAAATCTCCACTTGATTTAAAGGTTAAATGTTTTAGTTAAAAAGTTTAAAAGGTAGTGTAGGTTGTAGACGGTTGTTGTTAGTAATAATACGCCGCAAAATTATTGATATATGCAGTTAGTTCGCTTTTGCAAAACAAATGGTTAGGTTATTTTTCAGCACATTAAGTATTTTGTCATAATGTTAAATAACTTTGAGCGCATCGCTAACATTCCTCACCTTCTAGTGTTAATGCAGCACTAATCATATGGTAGGTGCAAAGCGCGCTGCAGATCACCACAATGTTTTGGTTTCGGTTTTCTCGGCAACTACGTGAACTCGACCATCGTTACAACGATACACTTATACGATAAGCCCCTTTTGCCCCACGTTGCGAGTACCATTTATGATCGACGACGGTTAGAACTAAGTCACTCACCTGCAACGACTTTGTCCACCGCTAGTAAACAACCACGCACGTTGCGATCCGTACGCTGACCCGAACGGTTAAAAACGCAAACCGGCATATCTCCGGCTGTAGTAGAATGAATTGAATTGGACTCTTAATAAAACAATAACTATTTACGATGTACGTCCAGTATAGTCTACATACCTAAGAAAGCTATGCACGGTACAGTTACACGCTATTGCTAGGGTAATAATTCAGCTTTCAATTAGTTACAACACATCACACTTAGTTTTAGAAAATCAGTTATTTTTCTGGTAAAAAGTGGTAAGAAGCAAACAATTTCGAGTGAGTGACAACTCCTTGTGACAGTTGTGTCAGGAGAGTAAAACGTTCCGCGCATGTGCGAGGTCTACGCTACACGGCAATATTGCTCCTGGAAAATCGGGATTTCTCCCATAGTCCTACCCTTGATCCCTTCCAGCCATCCCACCGGATGAAGTCCGAATCGGAGGGGTTGAACTCAATCCCCAGTTTTCGATATTGCAATAGCGAGACGTTACCCTCCTACTACCTCCACTCCAAACCCCAAAATTCTGGCACAAAAAGGACCGGAGAAACAGCCCTCCAAAGTATCAGCAGCTATCTTGGATCGCCATTTTGGAAAACTTTGAAGGGCTGTAGCTCCTACGCCTTTGGCTCTAGAGAGACGGGATTTCCACTTCCCATACCCTTTGCCAAACTCCACAGAACCCCAGGGCAAAATTGCCCTAGGACGACTCGCAAGGGCAAATCAATCTGACCCCAAAAATAAATATGGCAGGACTTATCATTTGTAACAATGTTTACATAAATATGAAATTGAACTAATTGTTTTCTTATCTCGTCTTAAGAGAATATGTTCGTCACCCTAGTATAATTTAACATTGGAAACTGTTTGTTGGCTAATGAATAACTTTTTTTATAAGTTTCTTATTCATGTGCAAAATCAACAGCTGTTTGTTTCTTTTGAAAAATAAATAAATATTTTTTTTATTACTTAGAATTGTGCTATAACGTCTACTCTATATAGTCAAGGCTTTTCCTATTTGATTCGATTCGCTTCCATCCATAGGGAAGGTCTGTATCTTAGCAGCGGAGACGCTAATAGGTTGATGATGATATCGTCTGTTTTTTTTTATTTACAAATATACATATATAATATCATACAGACATACTTGCACTTACAAATCGAAACATTTCATGTCATATAATACTTGGACATGGACACTTGAAGAAATACTTCTTGAGCCATAGATGGACTAACTGGGAGAAGTGCAATTTCAATAATATTATATACATAAATCAATTGATAATCTTTATTGAAATCGGTTTAAAATTCGAAGCATAGTGAACCACCTTCTATAAAAAAATTAATGAGTACATCAACGGGGCCATTTAAAAGATATAATGTATTAAATGGAATGAAAAAAATAGTAATAATAGTAAATATGTTTAAAAAGATATAAGGATTGGTCTACACATTCTATGATTTTTTAAAATATTCTAATGGTGTAGAAAAAAAAATAGCGTACAAATTACAGTTCTATAGCAATTTTAATAATATGTTTACAAGTGGATGATACTAATTGTTCATAAATTGATTATTTTACGGAACCATCGTTTTTATCACGCATTTTTTTACTATATGTTACAAATACATTGATTATTTATTTATTCAGAAAAGTAACGCTGTTTAATAAAAAATATATAAATCGATAACGGTTAGGTCACATGTAAAGTAATTATATAGCTAAGGTTTCCTTACGACTGTTTTCACTGTGCAATGATAGTTTACTCCTTACTCGATCAGTTGCCTCTATAGTAATTCATTTTCGATACATTTCAAATATTAATTATGTTTCGTTTTCTATTACCTGAAATTATATTTGAACTGCCAGAAGATGGTCAGTCGCAAATATTTAAAGCAAATTTAGTATGTTGGAAAATATTTGGATTGTGGTCTGATGAAACATCGAGTAGACTGTATAAATGTTTCAGTGCCTTTATTCTCATTATATTTTGGTTATTCAATTGGATTTTTATGACTTTAAGTTTATGGTATGCACCGAAAGATGTTGGGACTGTGTTACATCAATCTTTGTATTATTTTTTGGTAATAGCTGCTATTTGCAAAATGCATATGATAATCTTCAATCGTAATGATATCATAAAGTTGTTGGTATTTCTTGATTCTGGTGAATGTTTGAATCAAGAAGAAGAACCGCGGCAAATTATTAAAAATAATATATATCGATATGATAAATTAAAAAAAGTGCTGTTTGTAATTTACAGCACAGGTTTATTTTTTACTTTCTTACCAATTTTTACCTATTGGTTTTCAAATAATAGCCATCTGGAACTACCCATCTATCAATTCTATTTTCTTAACGAGACTGCCCGTAAAAAATATTTCATGTATATTTTGGCATATCAGTACTGTATTTCATTTATTCTTAGTAATCATAGTTTAAGTATAGATTCTTTCGCTTGTGGCGTGATAATGACGGCTATAACACAATATAAAATACTAAACTGGAAATTTGTGAACTTGAAATTGAGGCCATCAGAAGCAAATTACGACAAGGAAGAACAGGAAGTTATCCTAAAAGATCTACTTAATATGAATTTAAAACATTATGATGCAGTTCTGAGGTAATTTTGAAATAAGTCTAATGAGATCGACCTAAAAATTGGGAATGATTTAAGTTATAAATAAACGTTCTACTGTGTCAAAGTGGGGACGACTAATAATTACCACTAATTGTGACGTATTTAGGAAAGCAGAGGCAATTTCTTAGATTGGCTTTGCGGCCTGGTCTTTGGTCCATTGATTGTCCCTGCCGCCCTGTTACGTTACCGCGTATGAAGATATTATAACGTGTTATATTTCTTCGTTAGACACAAATTTACATTAGAAAACTTACTAATTAGACGGAGCTAGTTCATAGCCTAAACTTGTGAACCGAGAGAAGGAAAAATATGAAGGTTATTATAATATAATTTGTAAACAAATGTTTGGATAATTTATTTTTTTAAGAACTTGAAATCTCGGTAGAACTATTTTATTAAATTTATGAGTATTAGAAATTTCAACTAATATTGTTTGATTTTTCAGGTATCGTGAAGGAATGGAAAAGCTTTTAAGTCAATTTATATTTGCGCATTTAGGGAATAGTGCTCTATCGCTCTCAATAGCTATGGCTTTAGCTGCAAAAGTAATTTTCTATAGTAATATTGTAAATATTTTAGATTCTAATAGTTCCCATATTGAATTAGTACTTATTTGACATTGTACAGGTTTGAGTGATAATAGCACAATATTATTATGCCACTCAATGCCAATTTAAATAAGCTTTGTTTTATAATATTTCATATAAGTGTATTGTATGTACATACAGTGGACTTGCGGTAATTCGGACACTGTCTAATCTTACAAGTTTTATAATTTTTTGCATCATCAATGAATCATGGCAATACATTGAGTTAAAATCTGACATGATGTGACACCTTTGTACATTTTTTATATAGTTGTGACGTAGTGAACACGCATTCTTCAACTTTAAAGATTATCTTAAGAACGTCTTATTAAATTGAAGCATAAAAATACGTATCCAATATTTTTCTATTATCTGAGTGACTACTTTTTTTATTTAATAGAATTGTTTTAACCCCACGCACCATGCCCATTTATTTAAAATACCTTTGTTTTTTATCAAAATAGGCACTATGCAGTTTAGTTATGCCATGGGTCTGAAACAACACAGTAATGCTTTAATAATGTTAATTAGAGTTAAACATGATTAAATACTACTTTCAGAGTACATTGAGTAAAAAGTTAATCATTATGATCCTTTTTCTGATGATAAAATCGCTTATTTTGTTTATCCCAACGAAACTTGGAACTGAATTAACTCAAGAGGTGAGTGTGCTTTATAATTAATTTATTGGAAGATCATGTGAAGAAAGTCTTACTCGAAAATCTCATCATCATCATCATCATGATGAAATCATGAAAATTTGATGTCAATTCATAGTATCAAACATTTAATTTACTTATTGTGATTGTTTATTTAATTACTCCTGACTACCATAAAGTACCACCATATGAAACTACACCCACACGCACAATTAAAAGTGAATACTTTTTACCTGTAATAGGTTTTTATTTTACGTTTCCTCTCTTTCTTTTTCTTCTTTTTCTTGATTTTCGTCTATCCCCACCCCCCTCCCGTTTCTCTTATCCACACTCTGGCTGTATCACAGGTGGCCTAAGTGTTGATTGTGATGCACAATATTTACCTATTTACTACCTTTTCGTCACGTTTTATATAAACAAATTAACAACAAGGAAAAAACCCGTTTGTAGGTAGTTTAATTCAACGAGTAGGTATAAATTACTCAAATGTTAAATTAATTGGAATAGTGGATATTATTTAAGATGGTAATTGAATAATCTAGTGGTTAGTGGCGAACTGAGGACTGAGCTTTGAAATAAGCAAAATCGCATCAGCCAGGCGGTTTTCCGGAATTTGTTCCAAAAAATCTACATAATGAATTTATTATATTATGTATTTCTAAAACACAGTGTGTTATTGAAAAACGATTATAAATTTTGCTAGTGTACTAAAATACACTTACCGAAATATCTTTAGTAATAAACATTTTATTTCCACTCACCAAGGCCGCATGGTACAGTTTCCCTTGCCCGTGAAACAAAAGATGCCAGATAAAGTAAGTGTCAATTTCAAAGCGTTTGTAAAACTTGCAAAATATTCATAATATTAAATTTATACAATATTTACGTGAATATATTTACAATAAATTGATACAATATTTTACAAAATTCTTATTGTTTTAAATTTAAAAAAAAGATTAAGAATTTGAAAGACAGATTATATTAGACAAATCAGGTTTGGAAGAGTATAAGGTTACTTAAGTAAACACATCATCACTAAAATGCAAAAAAAAAACATTGATTTTAGCGACAACATACCTACTCTGTGACATGTAGATAATTAACATTACTTATTATTATTAGATGTCTCGGTAAGTGTACTTTTCGCGAACTATATTGGCAAGGTTTACATTTGTATATCTTGAATATCTGACTGTGTTTTATTACACAGATAATAACTCTTTTGTAGTAATGCAAAATAGTATTATTCGCCCATATTTTGGTGTATACAGGATGAATTTTATGATTATATATTTAATAAATTTTATTAGATGCACATCATCATAGTGCAAATCCCTCCGATTTATCGTATTCAGTCAACTTGATGACTTGTACATTCAGAAAGCAGTCTACTATATTATCTAATATATTTATTTTCTTTCAAAACAATAACTATCCGATTTTTTGTGTAACAAACAGCAATAGTTATGTTTAATATTTTAAATATTAATTAAGTCTGAAAAACACTACTCAAAATCAATTATATTATAATTGCAGTCTGAAAATTTGGTGTTTTCGGCGTACTGTAGTGACTGGATCTCTCGACCGGAAAGCTTCAAGAGGAGCCTACGATTGCTGATGCAGCACGCCAATAAACCTTTTATCCTCACAGGATTCAAAACCGCTAAACTATCAGTAGTTACATTTACATCGGTAATATTTCAATAATATTAGATTACTCTCATGATAGAACGTAATCAACAGGATTGGACAAAGTTTTAAATTACACAAGATTCACTCAAACTTGTGACAAATGGTTTTGTTTAAAAACCAACATAATATACCTCATAGAAACACAAAAAGATGGTTATACCAACAGATGTGAAACTGTTTGGTCGACTGTACATAAACGTACAACTGATGTGACTCAAATGTCATCATGCGCGGAACTTACTTAATAGCAAATGGCAAATAAAACCTTTAGTCATAACATAACATAACATTAATGAATGTGTGAAAAATAACGTACTCTTTTTTTCAATTTCAGATTATAAATACCTCATATTCACTTTTCACACTTTTTAGGAACGTTGATTCATAAAATAATTTCACAGACATAATAATTGTAAGTTTGCTGTTTTATCTTAAGTGTTTACGACTAATACTTGAGTTGACTAGGACTACAGCGTTCTCATCATAGTTAGAAGTTCATGTCAAAAAATGCAATCGATATGATATGATATAGGGTCATGCTCGCAGGCTCGAAACCTTCCAACCTCCCGAACAAGCCGGGTTCCGAAAAGGCTATAGTGCCGTTGACTATATTTATACGCTGCGGTTAGTAAAACAGAAGACTAAATAGTATATTTAGCCACTCTGCTTGGTATTCATGGACGACGGGAAAGCTTTTGATTCGATCGAAACATGGGCAGCGATGCAGTCTCTCCAAAAGTGCCAAATGGAGTACAGGTATAGCGAGGTGCTAACGTGTCTGTACAAGATCGCCACTACATATGTCACTCCGATTTCAGAACCAAAAGTCATATCCCATCCAATTACAGTGAGGCGTGAGGCAACCACTGCTTTGTAGGATATTTTCATGCTTCTGCATTGGAAAAGATAGGGTATCAATATTAATGGCTAGTGCCCTACACACCTTTGCTTTGCCAATGATGTAGTCCTAATAACCTAGGAGGACCTGCACAACATGTTTGGGGAGCTCAGTAGTGCATCCCAAAAAGTGGGTCTTAAGATAAACATGCACAAGACGAAAATCATATCACATGTTTACGTTGTATCCAATCCAGTTAAAATTGGAAACACTACCCTTGAAATTGTTGACCACTATGTATTACTAAGACAAATAGTCCAGTGAGGCGTATCCAACTTTGAGAAAGAGATCTTTCAAATCCAGCTCGGATGAGTAGCGTTTGGGAAGCTACAAAAAAATGTTTGTCTTGGAGGTCTATGAGGCTGGCCTTTGCTGAGCAGTGGACTTCGTACGGCTGACGATGATAATAATAAGGTGTCAAACTGTCAGTTCGACAGTACAGTAAGACATAACTGATGTAGCTCATGGTGACAGCTGAGTCTGTCACCATGAGGCATATTGGTTGGAAGACTTTGGTCCCAGCTGCATTTGAAGTCGTTAATACTCTCCAATCCGCATTGAGCCAGCGTAAAGGGAAGGCCTGAATTCCTGCTGTGAGGTCCTAATAACGTAAATCGCAAATTAAATATTGAGTCAAACAATAATAATAAGTGTGTTAAAAATAAGGTTTTTTTTTTTCAATTTCAGATTTTCACTTTTCACGATTTTAGTAACGTTATTGACACATAGAATTTTAAAAACATAATACTTGTACGTTTGCTGCTTTATTCCAAAGTGTTTACGACTAATATATGACCATCGGAAGTCTATTAATATATTTAAAGATTACACTATGCATGCACCTTTTATTAAATTGTAAATTTAAATAAATTTGTTGTTTCAATTTAATGTTTGTTTTTTATTTTTAACTAAAACGTAAGTGGTTGACCATGGCACTTATGAGGGCAACACTGAAAGTTTTTAGAACTGGCAACAATAAAAAATTATATAAAATTTTGAAAATGGATAATATTCCTAACGTCACTACTTAGTATTATAATATTAATGTAATAATATTAAATATATATTAATGATAGTTTACAATTGGCCTTTCACGTCGAAGACTATCTAGTGAAGGACTGCCTTCTATGGCAAATACTGCAGAAAACGAAAATGTTTGTGGCTTATGATAAAGTTCTGTCATCAGACCTTATGCATCAATATGAGTTAAATGTATAAAATATACCTCATAATTTGACTGTGGTCAAAAATTTCGTCAGGTCATCGTTACCGTGAAATGACTCAAAGATTTAACGGAGGTGTCTCAAATGCTGTGTTTAATTATTTACATAGTAACGAAAGCTAGATTATTATTTATGATCCTGGCACCAAAATACAACTTGTTCAGTGTGTTTTTCGAAGAGTAGCTAACTTATATAAGGAAATGCGAAGAGTAGAAAATAAGATAGAAAATAATACACTCATCCATACAGCTCGCAAATTAATGGCAGAAGTGAAATAAATATGTATTGCACATGGCATTATTAAAACAGAGCGTGATAAAAAATAAAAACGATGGCTTCCATTTTGGCGACATATCCAAAGCTACACGGGGGCGTCAATTTCTCAAATTGGAAATTCAGAGTAAAATTGTTGTTGAAAAAAAAAGCATAAGTACAACTTTATTGCAAAGTGAAGAATCCGAACTAAAGGAAGAAAAGAAAGCAGATACCTCTGTCTGTCTGACAAATACCTAGACATAGTTAAAAAGTGTGTAACAGCGGCAGAGATTCTTACAAAATTGGAAAACATGTTTGAAAGGAAAAGTATTTTCAACAAGTTATATTTAAAAAAGAAATTATTATCACTAAAATATTTACCACAAGAAAAATTTCAAGATCATTTCTTTAAATTTGATAACCTGTTGTCTGAATTAGAAAAAACTGGAATTGGATGAGTCTGAAAACCAAGCCAACACAGATTAGCTGAATAAATTTTGCGTAAAAGCAATTTTTTGACTTTAAGCTGGATAAAGTATTGGTATAACTTTTGTGTAAGCACTTATACAGATGATATTCAAGCAATTTGAGCACAAAATATCTTGCTTCAATTGGGATAACATTTGATTAATAGCTACATAGCAGCTGTATAAATGTACAACATACTGTATATCTTCTGCATAAATTCTGTTTTTTCTTTAGTCCAGAAATTATACATCTCTTATGCAGTTATTAATTTGTGAGTTCAGATATTCAAATGATATTCACAATTCCGATCTCAGGGGTAGTTTTACAAAGAAATTACACAAGTAAAAAAGTATAAATGTATTTTTCATTGTGACGAGATTATTTTGTGTTATTTACTTCAAAATGTTGTAATGGTCGCTTATTCACGACTTCAAAAATTTGGTAAGCAAATTGTTTCATACATTTTAAGTAAGTTAAAGGTGAATTATATAAACGCATGGCACTTTACTGTGAATTATCAATATGAGATATTCATTATTCAGATAAAGCTACAATTTAAAAGGTAAACAAATATGAAATAATAGGTATTTAAATTAAATTATCTGCACTTTTTATCAAATTTCAGTCCCAGAAAATAATGAGAATCAAATTTTGAGTAGGAAACATTATAAGCTAATGTTTCCTACTCACTAAACAAAGTGTTTCATAACATAAATGTTGAGGATTTTTTTAAGAAGAGGTTATATCGAACGTTAGTTAATGGCGGACTATTTGAATAAAAGTGTCTACTTCAGTGATTATTTTGCTTATTTCTGCATAATAGTTCAAATACGACTACATATCCAGAAATTATTTGGTTTAAAGTACAATAATTATACATTTCTCAGAGAAAGGTCTTAAATTACATAATGCAGTATACTCTAATTCAGCTTTTTCGGGTCCTTTTTTATAGAAAATAAATCCATTAATATTTTAGGTTGATGGGACCTATTCTAATGTAGGTACTTTTTATACACTCGGACTTGTTGCGCTCATGTAGTTAATAAGTAAGATACAAACGTAAACATCGAGATTTATTATAGTATGTTAGTATTTATAATATTGTTGTATTTTTGAAGTGTTATAGAAAAATTATATATTTTTTCAGAAACATGTAAAGTATCAATAATTCACAGTTTCAGGGTTTCGCCATTTCGGAAATTACGAGTTTGGTTAGAAAATGAATTTTCTATGTTGAGTAGAGTTTGTTTATTGTATAATGGAAAACTGCACCAACAAAGGTAAAGTAGAAAAGAATTGGGCACTAGTGTCTTTTCTCCGTTTCGTATGTTACAAATAAAAAATATATTAGAAGATAGTTTAGTGAAATTAGAAGCTGCTGTTTCCAACACGAAGTTCATGTTTCGGTAACGTTGGCACTAGTCCAGCCCAATCCTGGACAGTGCTCATACATAAATTACAAATTTCTACAAATGCACTCCTATTAGTGCTGAGGCAGATCTCAATTTATGTTTTATCGATAATACGAAACACTTTGGAAGAATAACAGATCTCTGTAACTTATTTTTATCGGTCAATTACTGGTTTATCCACCCAACAAATAAGCCCGAAGGAGGAGAAGGAGGAGCTCGAAAGCACATTGGTTAGTGTATTCTGCCAGCGATGTAGAAGTTAAGCAATGGTCTGGTCATAAGATGGGTGGCTTAAAATTATCTTGAGCTCCTCCGTGTTTTGGAAGGTACGTTAAGCCATTGATTTATACTACATCTGCAGTAGTAAACACATACTAAACTTCTATTTAATTCCACGTATATGGGTGGTGAATATACAAGGTTCTTTTCGAGCAATACAAAAAATTAAGTGGATATTTAGAAAAATATCGATACCGCTCCAACACTTCTTCCTCGGGAACGTTGCCATATCTTGTCGTTATACTTTTCTTTGAAGCTGAAGAAGTTGATAAGTCAGTTTCTCTGTCATAGATATTAAGGAATTGCGTAATGTATAACGGGAACGATAAACTACAATTATATAATGTTAGACTAACTGTTGGGAATAAACAACTAATAAATATTTTTTCAACATTAAATAATTTTGATCGCGCTTATACCACAACAATCTTCGTAGAAAAATATAATGGTGCTGCGTAATGATTAAAGGAAAAACAAGCG